TCAGTTACTCATTTATTAAGGCACCTTAGTAATTGAGGACTCCTTCCCAAGAAGAGAGCCCCAAAAATAGAAAATATTAATCTTTTATATCTTTTGAAAAACAGCATCATTATCAGAGATTACATGATTGGTTACATAGTTGAGCATGCACACTTAATAACTAACATCCCATTATAACATTACACATTTTCAACCCATAAGTGTGATGGTGTCCATGATGACTTGTGGTTTTCTGCATCTGGGACACCTGGTGGCCTTGGAACATTTGTTATTTTAAGTCTTGTATGGTTATATATGTGTCTTTTCCTGTTTTAATCAGTCTGCATGCTTAATCACAGAGCTTGTTGACATGTTCTGTGGAGGAATGTGAGTCTAATGGTTTATTATTGACATGCATTGGTGGGAGTATGAGTCTAATAGTTTATTGGTGACATGTTTAGGTGAGGAGTGCAAGCCTGATAGTTTATGACCCCAGTCTGACTCCCATTTTATTAATTAACTCCACTTTTGCTGATATCACAATACAATAACTATAATTTTAAAAATTGCACGAATTTAGCAGCTAACAGTTAATCACATGGAGGAGGAACCAAATGGTTTCTAACAGCTATACCTATTGATAACAATTTTGCAACCTTCTTAGAGGTTTCTGAAGAGTGGTTACCCAGGAGAAGAGTAACAGCCTCCTGGTCAGAATAGAATTATTAACTGCTTTGGGACTTGCTAAAACCCTGGCTGAACACTTCTTTGTCATCAACTATTAGTATTACCTTTAATATTTATCATTAATCCATTTTCGCTTTTGATTTTTGCTTGTCTTTATCTTCAGCTAACAAAGTGGTGTTGTTTAATAATATATCAAATTATTAGTTGCCTGGATTTCTGTTTTGATTCCAGTTGTCATATGTTATAATATATTCATTGTAGTAGTTAAACAGATATGGGGACAATATGCATTACTCTTTTATTTCCTTTCCTATTACAGACCATTCTATTTCTCCCAATTCAGTTCTTACCACTCTAAAAATTCCTCAGAAGAATAATTATGTGTCCTTAATATGTTCCCATTTTGTGTGAGCTACACAAAAGCTTTGTTGTAGTCAGTGAAACAAAAGTAAACCTCCTCCTAATATGGGCAACTTAAATGTACTACTGTATCTGATCTCCTTGTCTGCTGCCTGCTCATTTAGGGTTTCTCTTTCCCTATTTATTTATTTAGATTCATATCCTGCCTTTTGTACAACAGCTCAAGGAGATATACATAGAGCTCCCTCCCCACAACAACAACCCCATGAGGTAGTTTGAGTTGAGAAAAAGTAATTCGCCCAAAGTCACCCAGTAAGTTTTTGTAAGTTCTTAAGCAAACTTTTCTTGCATAAGGAGTTACTGTAGTTCACTAATTTGCATGTTCTTTTATATCTCCATTCTTCTTATAGGCCAACCATTTCCAGCCTCTAATCTAGACCATACAGTCTTGTTCCATATTTTCCGACATAATACTTTACCTGCCTCTTCTCCTGCAGATTTAAACACTTCAGTTAATATTTCACTTGACTCTCATTTTTTTCTTTTCTTGGGATATTCCTCCATTTGTTGACATTCTTGACTAATGTTGAAAGTCTGCCTTCAGTTATCATGCATCCCTTTGGTTGCCCAAGGCTTTCATCTTCCATCTTTCCCTAGCTATTGGGATTGGTTTTCTGAAAGCCCCTTGGATGTTTTCCTCTTTAAAATTGCGCAAATATTTTTTCCATTTCAATTTTCAGTGATTCTTATCTATTTTCATAGCTCCTTGGATTCACTTTTGAATATGTTAAGTGTACTAAACCTTTTCCCTTATTTGGTCTTATTTCTAATTACAGTGGTACCTCGGTTCACGAACTTAATTTGTTCCATGACTCTGGTCGTGAACCGAATTGGT